GTGTGTGTGTGTGTGTGTGTGTGTGTGTGTGTGTGTGTGTGTGTGTGTGTGTGTGTGTGTGTGTGTGTGTACTTTGTTTTGCAGGTCAAAACAGAGCAGATTAGCTGCCTTATGCACTACCTATGTAAAATATAGTGGCTTCTGATGAGAGGATAGATACTGAAGTGTCTCTTAAACAGCTGTTTGGATATTAAACACATTATGGGTTTGAAAGGTTTATTCATTTGTATTTTTATTTTGCTTTCCCCTACTTTTTGCTACATATGTGTACTGTTCCAATGCTGGGTGCTTATATCATATTAAACGTGCCTATTAATGGCCAATGTTGAGGACAGCATCTGTAAAGGTAATCCAATCAAGCTCAGCCTTCCGACTGCTCTAAATGCTCCGTTTCAGGCACTTTTTTCTATTCTCGAGAGTTGAAAACAAAATATGGTCATCGCCAACACACAGCTCAGAGGGGTAGCCAATCACAAGAAGGGAGAATGGCCTTTAAAGGAAATGAGCCACAGGAAGAGCTAAAAAAACCTGCATAAATAAGGCAAATAAATAGGGCAAGAATATCCAAGATTAAAATAGGCAAATAAGCCTAATATTGATTTCACTTTGGTGAAAATTTGCTACCAAGATTCAGGGTGTTGTCCTTTACCCTTAAAACACATACAACAAAAAGCATATTGCCTGGTAAATATACTTTAACACTTACTGCAGCGGCAATTCTCCTAAGTGTTACTTTATACTACAGTCATCATTCCCACTGCTAAGACTTGGCAGATGTTTCTTTTACTTTGCCAGTAAGTAACAATTACAGCTGCCACGGCTAACAGTAACATCTGACTTTGGTATCATTAGCATCTCAAAAGGAGCTAAAATGCTGCTGCTTTTAAGATGAAGGGAAGTGGGCTGGCTACTTTTTTTTGATAGCACAAATGACTTTTCAAAGATTTTAATCTTACAACACAGCAAGAAATAATAAAACATATATAATATATATTTCAAAATGGATGCAGAATTGGGGATGCTAAGCAACAATGTTGCTATTGAGAGCAAATGTACCGCCAGCCCAGGCAAGCACATTTAGAATTGACAGATGGCTCAACCATGACCGCTGAGAGCGGGTCGATTAACAGAGCTCGTGGGCAAGACGGTTTGGGAAGAAATGATGAAACAAAATGAATTTTGGTGATGTGGACTGTATGCAATTATCTGGCCTCCAGACACTCGGGCACGCTTTAGAATATGCAAGACAATCACATTTCTGAAACCCACACAGAAAGACTGTATGTAATGCTTACACAAGAAGTCCTGCCAGCTTTGCAACAGAGAGGAATACCAGCCCACCAAAACGCTGTAACATTCCACACCGTCTGTACAGCCGATTATCTCAGCCGTTATTTTATGCACGCACACATAGCAGAAGGAAATCATGCTGAAGAAAGAGTTATGGTGTAAAACTTGCCCTATGTAGTGGAAAGATGCAATTATTTTTCAAATTAATGGTCTATAACCAAGGAAAACAGAGGAAAGGTGCCGTTAGGTGGGATTTATGGTCTGTCCAAACTGCGTGTTGGATGGTCAGATAGTGTTGCAAATCCCCGCTCCATCCACATTGCTCTAATGTCAGGTAGCTACTGGCTGAGTCGTCCATTATGTGCAACCCTCCGAGACCAAAAATTCACAAGCAACTACCACGCTGTATGGAGATTAAAAAGAAGCTGAGCATTGTCATTCTCTTTGAAGGCTGTTTTGGACTTGTTAATCAAATGTTCAACCAAAGCATAATTAGTGTTATATTTTACTGATGCCATGTCAAGCCACTCCTTCATGAGAGCTGGGTTTTCAGTTCAACTCTCAGCAGGACCATCTGGGAGTGACCAGAAGATGTAATATAATCCAGTCCAGAAGTCACATTAATAAGAAATGAGGCAACAAAACTTTATATCATTAAAAAAAAAAAATGGTAAAAACAGGAGTTAACTGTAATGAACTACTGGCTTATTTTAATATTGTTCATCTTAATTAACATTTTTATTTCTTATGTTTTCTAATTGGTTAAGAATGAGCTTTTATTACTTCTTTGAACATTGTCTGGATGGTTTCTGTGAAGTTATAATACAACTTACAAAACACAGTGTAGTGCATCTACGAACAGCTTTTATGAGTTATAAAGTTATTTATAAAGCCACGAAAAAACAGCTAATTTTAGGCACTAAAATAAATTGGTTAATTAAAACAATTATGGCTTGGTTTAAAACTTACTACTTTAAAACCATCAAAAGTCACAAAGGTATGTGACATCTTGGAATGAGGATGTTATGCTTACTGGTGTCATCAGTATATAACCCTGAGCATCTCTTGTAAGCTCTACATAACTCAAGTACAACATGCAATCAAGAATGAATTACCTTTCATTAAACAAAGTTATGATGAAAATAAACAGATGTTTTGACATTACTTTTGATTAGTGAACATTATTAAAGATCATTTCATTGTTTTGATTCATTAACACTAACTATACAAATCAACTATTAACTGATCACTTATCAATGTAGTTGTTGGTAAAAAAGAAAAATGAGACTTTTCACCACAATTTGAGCTCTTTTTGTGTGTTGACAAATTTCTGATTACAAGATGCGAAACTGCGGAAGAAGAGAGGACTTAAATGTTAAACAACAGGTAGCTAGCTAACAAAAGCTAGCCAGCTGACAGATATCTGATGTCTTGTCAAGAGATTAATATGTGAACACCCTTTCAGTTCTTCCATCTCTGCTTAGAGTGATGACTAAAGAGGATCAGTAATATGGTAAAGCATCTGTTACTGGAAGTTCATGTAGTGGCTTTAAGACCTATTATTGAAAATGTTGTGAGGCAACCTGCACAGGCTGAACACACAGCTTACCTGGATCCCGTCCAGCAGTTTGCTCATGCACCAGAAGCTGTCAGCCTCAATATTCCTCAGAGCCTCTTCCTGGAGACTGGACACGTCAAAGTTTTCCACTTCCTCCTCTGGAGAAGACAAAATGAGAACAACGACAGAGCGTAAAGAATTTGCTGCTTATGGGAAAGAGACTGACAGATAAAAAGACAGTGAGACGGGCCAAAGAAAAAGAAGGGAAGTTTAAAAAAAGACAACAGGAGAAAACGGGAGAATTCAGGGGAGAGATATGGCGAGCAATGCCAGGTTCCCAGCACAGCATGGGCTCTGCCATAAGCCTGTCACCATAAACCCTGACAGGGGAACAATACAGCCATAGGTGCATGGGGAGGACTAATTCAATAGGGAGAGTAGGAGCAGGAAAGAGGTAAGTGGGTGGGTTACGAAAGATGTAAGGAAATGAACGAAGACGCTGACAAATTGGAGCAAAGGTATGAAAGGGGGGATGAAGCAGTGAAGACGGTGTGGAAGGATGTAGGAAGACACTAAAAAGAGGCCTATTAGAGCAGCCTAATGATTATCATCTTTGAACAGCGGTTCAACCTTTCCCGTGGCTTCTTTGAACATTTCGAAAATATTACAGAGTTTGTGCACAAAGGACAATTTGTGCTTTTCATGTTGCAGACAGCATGAATGTATTTAACATATTTTTTCCAGAAAAAATAGTTTTACTAGTCAAATTCATGCCAATAACTTGGTATTTGAAAGGAGTTAGACCTTTCAATCTTTTATCTTAGCTGTGCGTCTATCCTAAATGTACCATTTTTAAACAGTTCAGTATTTATTGATGGATTCAGGGTTTTCACATGACCTTTGATGTAAACTCCTACTGCAGTGAGTTCAAAGGGAGCTGTGAAAAGCAAGGTGAAGGAGGTCAGGCGAGCTGAAAGACAAACAGTCTGCACATAAGTAAAGCAGAATTATGTTTGGAGATATATTTTTAAACACACTGCAGGGCTGAACAAAAGAAACGATTCCTAAGCTGCGAGCACGCCGAGTCCCCAGTCATCTCCAGTGGGTGACTTCAACGATGGGTGTCATCAGATGTCATTAACGGCAGTAGTGTGTGACGGACTGCAGGGGCTCTGACGGGCTTCTGACAAGCCACTGACAGCCAGTGGAGAGGAGATGGGACGAGACTGATTAACAATGATCTACAGAGAGAAAAGAATGAGCGAGAGAGGGAGACAGAGAGAGGGAGAGAGAGAAAAAGAGCAAAGGCAAAGACAGTGTGTGTGTGTGTGTGTGTGTGTGTGTGTGTGTGTGTGTGATGTGTGTGTGTGTGTGTGTGTGGTCATATAACCAAAACACTGGTCTACGTATTTGTGTGAGTTCCTATTAAACACTCAAATACACACACACACACACACAAACACACACACACACACACACACACACACACACACACGCAGGTCCTGCCAGCTCTGCCTGGTATCCTTGGCAACCTCAGTGGAATGTTGTCAAGGTTGTAATGAGCATGCTCCGTCTGACAGACAGACAGACGGACAGGGAGCTGGCTTTGGGCCAGGGCTACAAAGCTGCTAACAACTACGCTGCATGCTCGTGTGTGTGTGTGTACTGTCTCATTTGTCTTGTCTGCTTAAAGTCAGGTAAGGATGGACAGAATGTAGAGCGAGAGGCTATGCTTCCTTCATTTCAGTGAGGTCTTTCATCCCATTACATCAGGACATGTCAACGTGTCCAGTAGCACAGAAATCTAATTTTGTTCACACGGCTACCAGATCTTTAATACCAGATATGAAAGTCGTCAGAGGCTTTTTTTTCTGATTAGATGACAGTACAGTTTATTTTACTCCAATACTTATAATGCAAAAAAAAGAAAAAGAAAAGAAAGAAAAGAGAGAGGAGACGTACTACAGCCAGAGGGCAGACATAGCAGTCATTATTTGTGCAAACATACAGAGATATAATCTCATAAAATCCCATTTTTGGCAAGAGATCAAAAAGAAAGAAAGAAAGAGAGACAGAAAGTAAATCAGCAATGAGAAGTGTAAACATATCGAGAGAGGAAGAGGTCACCCACTGAGGAAATGTTACCACTCTGAGACATCTGATGAGATGAGAACTCAACATTTTTCCTCAGCTTAAATTGAGGCCACGGCAGAAGTCAACTACAATCAACTGGACCTAAACACAGAGTATGAGCAGCTGTTATAACAGAGCAAAAGTACGCAACTTTACATCGTCTACAGCGATGCAAGAAACAATAACTTTAACACAAACTCTCTAAAGAGGGAACACTGCACAGACAGATGTTACTTACGGCTGGGTAATATGGCTAAGTGCCACTAATCCTAAAGTAAGTAATTTAAACAAATACATCAGAAACTTCACCTTTCTTGTGATATCTGGTTTTAAATTCCACAGAAAGAAAATCAGCGAACCTAAATGAACCAAACCCGATGACGGGGAGCCACAGAGGTGAGGATAATATATGCTGGTGGATCATCAGGGAGCACGGTTTGTAGACTAGTTTAATTTTATCAACGGAAATTATTCATGCATTGGCACTGCTTTTCAGCAGCAACAGATGGAACACCAACCATTAAAAAAAGTTTGCCAGTCATTTAGCAACCGCTGGTTTGTTTGGTTTTTTTTGTCAAAGACACAAATCTGTAACCAGATGACACACAACACGACACAACTACAACTGCTGCTTTGAACTGCAATTTCCAGGTTAATTATTCAAGACGCTGAATTCTGAAGAAGACAGACTCTTAAATTAGGTAGCAAAGCAACCGAGACAAAGGCAAACAGACGAGACAAACACCCAGCGATAAGACTAAGGTGATATATCCCCTCATATTTCCAACATCACATCACATTTGTTATGACTCTCAGAATTCTAAGTGCAGGCCTGTTATGTAAAAATTACACAACTGGGGAAAGCATTATGCTGGTTTTGTGCAGCTGGGACAGCACGGGGAGTGATCTCAGAACAGCAAAAATGTGCGATCTTTGTGTAAAAATGGCTGACGATGTTACAGCACAGGCATCTTCTTGGGCTGCAGCAGTTCTGAGCAGTGACAATATTAAACCTGTAGCTGAAAGGCTCACCGGTACTTGCATGGTGTCACTGCTGATTATAACAAGCTGATGAAAGCTCCACTGCTTTAGTATTCTGAGAGTCCCTGAGTATCCCAAAGCCTCAAATCAGTCTTTGTCGTGGCTAAGGTCTATTTGTAGTAGACAAACCTCGACTCTATGAGGGGCAGCTTCAGGTAGTGTGGCGGTTGTACTGGAACTGGGCATAGTTCATCAGAATAGCAAGAACACAGAAAAGTGCAGGCAAAGAGGAAAGAGGAGCAGTGCAGCAGGAGTACACTGAGGACTCAGTGTGGCTCTATCACAGGGCTACACTGCCCCACATGGATGAATGCTAAACAGCAGCCAAACCTCAGGTCATTTAATCAGTTTTATTGTCAGGTAGTCCAGACAGCTCTTTTTGTTCAGTGTTGAAAAGATAAAAGAATCAAAGCTGTGAGCTAAATGTCAGATTATTTAAAAATCTGTAGCTGCCTCACTTGATCTGCCTTCACAGTAGCAGCAGTGTGTTTTGCTAACACTGGAAATACAACGCAGATGGGGGGGAAAAATGAAGAGGAGGACCATTAGGCCACCTTTAACAGGTAACAGACTGTAACAGTTGACCTGTCATCAAAAGACGGTTTTGCTAATCACTTTCATAGGATCCATGCCTCAGTGGAAATTCCTTTAAGAAACTCTCTTGGTGATTACCCCGGGAGCTTTTCCTTCACACCAAGGACCAGCTGACAATACATGTCTGGGACATGATCCGTGTCTCTGAAGAAATGTTTCACAAATAAGAGCCAGGGGAATTTTTTGGAAGTTCAGGCCTCAGTGAACTTCACATCAGTGACTGAGGGTTTTGGCTGCTTTAGTCCTGTGTGAGTCCTGCCTGCACAATAATCTTTTGCCAAATAGTATTCTCAAGTTCTTCAGAGGCAGAGTGTCAGCTGGTAAAAGAGCAGGTCTGACATTCACCTTGGTAGGAGATTAGAACTAGTTTGATACAGCCAACTCAATGAAACACAGTGGCAGTGTACACAGAGAAAACTGGCATTTTGTGATCAGACTGGCAGAGCAGCACAGCGCACACAGACTGCAGACTTGGCGGCCCGGCCAAGGAGCCGGCACACAAAACTGCACACGCACAAAACAAACTTACACGACAATAAAAGTGATTACAGAGCAGTAATTGCTCTACAACTGGAGACCATTTTGTGAGGGGATAACACAAGCCACAACGGGGAGTTATTAATCCATAAAGTTGAATTACTACCGTGATGTACAAAATAACCACCTGATGGTTTTATAATATTAAGAAATTTAAGTGAAACTGTATCCTAACGAGACTCAGTTATTGCAAAAAAGTGTTTTGTGAGGTCAGAGTAACTTCAGTCTCAAAACACACTGACTAATGTCGATGTCAGTAATAACAGAAGAGCTTCTGGGGGAAGGCCTGGGGTGTAGCCAGTAGATAATTGGGCCAGGATTTCCTCTGGTTATCTGACCTGCAGGTAAGCAACTACTTGTGCACCTGTCAGAAGGACTAAAATCAGACTACAAATGGAAACCAGACAGCTTCAGGTGCTAAAAAGTAATCTCTACCTACAGATTCTGAATATTCATATGGTAGAAGGTCTACCATTGCTAGCTGCGACCCAATAAAATGCTGTTTAAGCATTCTTTGGGAAAGTCTTCCACAGCAGGAACGTGGTTTGTCAATCAGCTGAGAAGGCTCAAGGCTGGAAGTGTTGGGGCTAAGTAGCAAGCAACAACCAAACCTTTGTAGACTCCTAAATGAGCCCCCCGATATGCTGAAATATGATCATTATTAATCCAGTGTGGGCCACTCAGGCAAAGCCTGGCTTCAACAGCACATTTTGTACCAATTCCCCTCGAGGCTTTTATGAAATGTCACATTAGCGACGCTAACAGCTGACTATCAAAACCCGATCACTCAGTCCCAGTGAACAGCTGTGTCAAATTTCAAGGAATTCCTTAAAAAGGTGTTATGTACACAAAC